GAAATATTAATTAATTTGCAAAAAATGCTCCCTCTCCTTCCTCAAATAGAATAATTGAGATCAAGCCTGTTTAGAATACTGTTCAAGAAAAATAGCACTAATATGACCTCTATTTGTCCCCAAACGAAATGACAGAGCTGAGCTTTTCTCTGGCACAGTGTTTCTCAACCTTGGCAACTTGAAGATGTGTGGACTTCAACTCCCATAATTCCCCAGCCAGGCTGAATTCTGGGAGTTGAAGTCCACACATCTTCAAGTTGCCAAGGTTGAGAAACACTGTGCCAGAGAAAAGCTCAGCTCTGTCATTTCGTTTGGGGACAAATAGAGGTCATATTAGTGCTATTTTTCTTGAACAGTATTCTAAACAGGCTTGATCTCAATTATTCTATTTGAGGAAGGAGAGGGAGCATTTTTTGCAAATTAATTAATATTTCGATTTTAGATACCGCCCATCTCACAAAGAAGTGACTCCGAGCGGTTCACAATAAAACAACAGTAAATATTAATTAAAATACAATAAAAACAGTAAAAAATACAGTAACAATAGAATGAAACTAAACACATACACAAATAATAATATCTTCCAATATGTTGACAATCAGTAAGTTGTTAACATGTTCTACTTTGAGTACCTAGGTTAGCTTTGACTTTAATGCAACTGTCCCATTTTTCCTTAGCACAGCACCCAGAAAATAATGAGGGGGGCTGAGCTGGGTTTGTGCTGCTTATTTCCAGCTTCTCTATATTTTCAGATAAATCATTTCCCTATTCCTTGGTAAGAAGTAAGGCTTGGTTGCCCAACAACTAGTCAGTTTCATTTCTCCTGCGAAGAGGATCTAACTAGTTGCACAATCATAGCAGGGTGCTTTTTTTCTGCTTTGATATCTTCTCATATAGGTCTGATTTCATTTTTTTTTTTAAACTTGGGGAATGCGGCTCAACCAACCTAGAAATCCATGCAGTGTTTGGAATTCAGCCTGCCCCATTCCTTATGTAAGGTCCTGCTTGATGGACATTTTCTTCACTGGCTGGTGACTTGCTGAAAGGGGACATCAGCAAAGTCAGGAGAGAAAACCAGGCCTGACCAGCATGCTCACCCAATTTGGGCAAAACCATCTGGCAGTGAGGCAAAGGAGATCCAACAGAGGCAGGATATGGATTGGCAGTGAGGATAGGAAATGTTATGGAGATATGGTATGTCAAGAATGGGTAGATAGCTCTAACTCAGTAATAGGGAAAGGCCCTAATGCCTAAATTTTACCTATCCTTTGAATGAGTGTCTTAGGAAACACTGCAGGGAATTCCACCAATATATACTATAATGTAAGGTGGCAATTCAGTGCCTTCTAGTCAATTCCTCTGAATTTTGCAGCACTTCTACATTCATCATCAGTGCTCCTCAGCTGCCCCATTTCTATCTCTTTGGCTTCCTTGTTTCTTCTTTGTCAACTTCTTCTCTCCAACTAATCTTCACCTCTCTCCACTTGCCCTCGACTTAAGTCCCTCAAAGCAGACCATCGTGCAAAGCCTGCATTCATCTTCTACAGTTGCTACTACAACTGTTCCTACAAGATTGTTGCTATCGTGCACTGCAGAGGTTCAGTCTCCAAGAAGAATAGTTATAAATACAATCTGGGGAAAAAAATAGTGAAAATAGTATCAAGAGACCAGACTGAAATAGGTGTCTCTGCTTCCTGAGTGAGGGAGAAATCATGGTGAATTAATACTTAAATAGATCTTCCCTGAAAAACAGATATGAACCAGAATAACCAATACACAAAGACGTTACGGCATCAGAGCATTTCAGCAGTAGGTTTGCTACCATGCTAGTAGTTTTGCTATTCATAATTTGTTGAATAAGCCACAGTGGCTAGGTCCTTGAATCATGCTAAGCCAAAATCAAATGAACCGTATTACAGGGTGAATTCAGCTGTAGTCTATTGGATGGACCTTCCTTGGGCTTGGAAGCTAAACAGGATTGGCCCTGGTTAACCTGCATTTCTCTACTTATGTGCCATGATTTACATGTGGGTTCTCTTTGTATATTTTCTTTGCCCAAAGAATTTATAGGTACTGCAGTGCTCACTTACTGACCATTTGTTCAGTGACTGTTTGAAATTACGATGGCACTGAATAAGGAGACCTACAACCAGTCTTCAAAGTTGCAGCTGTTGCAGCATCCCTGTAGTCATGTGATCACAATTTAGTTGATTGGCAACCAGCACACATTTATGATGGTTGCAGCATCCTGTGGTCACGTGATCACCATTTGCGACCTTCACAGCCAGTTTCCCACAAGCTGCAAAGTCAGTGGGAAGCCAGTAGGAAGTCACAAGTCCCATTCATGTGATGTTGTGCTTAATGATGGCAGGTGATTCATTTAATGACCACAGCCAGAACTGATGACATAAGTTGGGTGTGGTCATGTGATGTTTTACTTTACAACCGTGTTGCTTAGCGATGGAGTTGCCGGTCCCAATTGTGGTCAGTAAGCGAGGACTACCTGTACTTTGAACTGATTAATTCCACAGATGTTTCTTTATATGTTGCTGTCAATCAGGAAGTCCATTCTTTTGTGTTTGCTTTGTCATCTCTTTCTGCAGCCTTATTCCTTGGTATTGATTTCTTCTGTCAGTAACATATCTTCATTCATACAACACACTAAGCTGTAATGTGGTTAGTTCCATTTTAGCTAAGCAGGTTGTATGACCTGAGCCATTGTAGTTTGTAGGGAATAGTTTATAGAAAGCAAAGTCACCTTTGATTCACACTTGAGTTCAGTTAATTATGCAATTTAGTACTGTCTTTTTCTGGGTTTTGTTTTTTGACTTCCCAGGCTAGCCTAAAGTGCTGGATTTCCCATTCAAGCACTAACCAGGTCTTCCTCTGCTTCATCTTCTAGATTGGTCATGATCAACTAGGTACTGCCACCTAACTAGGGTCAAGCCATCATTTTTAATTTAGCAGTTTGTATGAACCATACCAATTGTAGCTTATCCATACAGAATACTAAACCATAAACCATGATTTGGAAACTACAATGGCTAAATAAGAATCAAACAAATTGCATTGCATTTTTAGTATATTGTGTGAACATACAACATACTGTGTCTGAACATACCCTTCTCATATCTCTACTTTTTTTTCTAGACTTAGGTGCTATTTCGGTTGTTTGCCAGCTCTGAAAGGCATACAGTCCTACCATACATGAACTGGATTCATGTAATGAAAGAAAGAAACTTTCTTACTTTTCAAGTAAGAAAATAGAGTCAGATAACAAATATTATGTGTTGGATTTAACATAATAATAGCAAAATATTCCCATATTACAGAGCCATAAAAACATATAGTCACATACACATAGAAAGGAGGAAATCAGGTGTTGATTACATCCCTAAATTCCAATAATTTGGGATTATTGAATCTCAGGGGGCAGAGGAGACAGTGATTGACATGGCACACCTCCAAGAATCCTGTAGATCAGTGTTTCTCAACCTTGGCAACTTCAAGTTGTGTGGACTTCAACTCCCAGAATTCCCCCCTTTGAAGGACTACCTTCAAAGGAATACCTGCTTGGGGGGGTATTCATGGACCTATCCTGTTTCAGCTAAGCCATTGTAAGCTTTTGGAGTTTTGGGGAATTCTGGGAGTTGAAGTCTACACATCTTGAAGTTGCCAAGGTTGAGAAACACTGCTGTAGATGACATTTCATAAGAGAGGGAACTTGGAGGGAACTAATCTAGTTGGGTGAATAGAAACTGTTGGGACAGACAGTCTTGTAGATATCCATGTCCTAAGCTATGAATGTCTTCAAAGAGAACAACCAGCACCTTGAAATGCTCCCAGAAGCCCACCAGTAACCAATGCAGCTTTTAAAGCAGCATGTTACATGGGCTAACCAAGGGGACCCATGCCTCCTTTCTCACTATTGTTGCTATCACTGCCATGGCACCTCTTTTCTACTACTTTTGCTGAGACCTGCTCTTGAAAGTCTCAGCATGGAGTTTCCTGTGAGTCTTAAAGCAAGCCTCAGATTAAAGCTACATTTTCTTCTAAATAAGATGGCATTCCCTTTGAAGGACTACCTTCAAAGAAATATCTGCTTGGGGGGTATTCATGGACTTATCCTGTTTCAGCTAAGCCATTATACACTTTTGGTGTCTTGGCTTAGTGTATTTATTTCTCAGACTTCTAAGCCAACAAAATCCAACGACTCATGGATACTTGTAAATATAAATATACAACTTGACAGATACAAAGACCGTAAAATGCAATAGAAGATAGAAAGAGATACAAGTACTGTTCTGGCTTATTCAACAAAACATAACTAAGACAAACCATAACTTGGTGCAGTGGTAGGTAGTCTACTGCCCAGAATAAGTCATTTTGCTGCCAAATTTCAACAGGGAGACCTAAGGGGATTCTGGGGCTACAACAGTGAGGTGGAAAGGATGAAGTGGGTACATTAGGCTTTTACAAAGCACAAGACATGCGTGTTCACTGTTAAACCCTCTAAACCATGATTTGTAGATAGATAAGCTACTGTTTTCTAGATTGACACATTATGCTAAGCTATAAAGCAGGGGAGCACAACATTTGTAAAAGCCAGGTGATTCCAGGGGGTGAGGGTTAAAAAAGTCAACATGGCAGCTATGACTGCATGAAAGAAGTCCCACCATCGCAGACACGTGTAAAAAAAGGGATGGAGCTTTGCTCACATGGTCATAGCTGTCATCTTGACTTTCTTGAACCCTCCCTCCAATTTCCCTTGTTCCATCAGAAACACCAACTTGCAGGTTGCATTACTTCCTGCTTGGGCTGGAAGGAGGACAAGAGGATGTGAGGAAGAGATGGGAGTTCACAGGATGATTTGCAGAGAAGGAAGGACTACAGGTAGATCTAGCTGGGATGAGCGAGGGAGACAACACACAGAGGCTGTGATGGCAGGGTGTGGTCAAGCTTAGGGAAGGCGGAAAACAGGTGGAAGCAGCGGGAAGAAGAGTTATTGCCACAAGACTCAGCCACAAAATCCGGGAGGATTTTGAGATCTGGATATGAGCTCCTGGCAGACCACCATTGCATCTGAGTGCTTGTAAACCATGATTTATGATTTACAAACTACAATGGCCAGATTTTGTACCAAATGCTAAAATGTTAGCTAAAACCAGACTAACAAAGTTACAACTTGGCATGATTGTAAATCCAGATATCTTTAGAGACTTCTATAAAATTAGTGGGACTTGTTGGTTGTTATTAAGTCTTGCTAATTTCAGTAGGTTTCCGTTAAATAAAATAAGCTCGGATCCTGTGTGAAGAAGCACCTTTAAAAACTGGAAAAGAATCTGTGGAAAAATAAGTTGTAGAATTTCTGTTACTTCAGCCCAAAAACGTTTTGAAACACTGTAAAACCCATAGCTTTTTTTGGTTAGGAACAAAAACTTGGCAGGTAGGAATCCCACAAACAGCCAACCCTCACTGCTTATTCTCTTCAGCTTAAATACCATGTGTGTTTAAAAAATGTAGTTTCTCTCAGCCTGTATGTACTAAACTTGTCAATATCTGCATTCGCCTTGTTAACAGAGACTTTCAACAACCATAAAATAAATCTTTAATCAAAGATATGATGTTTCCCGAGTGCCGTCGGTTAACTATGTCAGTTATGTACAAACATTTCAAGATCTGGAAGCTGAGGTCAGCTGGAGTCCAGAAGAGATATTCTGTCTTTTCTTCCCCTAGCAGTGCAAAACTTAATCACTGCCATATTAAAATGAGTTAACACGGTGCGGAGTCACTGCTCACACTGTCTATTACAGCTGTAGCTTTCTAATAAGTATGAACTGTTTAGTGATTTTAGTTCTGCCTTCAGGCATTGCAGACTGGAGAGCACTTACCTTCTCCAAATTGGATGCTGTTTTCTGCCTGTAGCTTTTTAGCAGATCCGGTAGGAATTACAGCAACAGAACTAAATGCAGACACTCAACCGTTCTTGACACCTGTCTTGTCTGCAAGGGATTTCAGAGAATACAAGCAAGGCTGGCTCCTCTTTCATGCTCAGATTTACTTGGAATAAAAACAATCATTACAACATATAGCAAGAATCCATATAATTCTACACAAGATCATTTAATGCCTCATTTCAATCAGTGCATGACATACACTGCAATTACCAAAAACTGCTTTTTCTAAGTCTAAGAAAACGATGACTTTCATAGCTGTGGTATGCTGTAAATGGCCAAGCGCAGATATTGTGCTAAATCATAAACTCTTGACTTATAAATGACTTATAAACTCTTGACTTATATGACTTATAAATATATAAACCAGAGTGGCTGGATTCACATTATATGATAAGCCAGAACCAAACAAGCCCACATGTATGGCTTACTGTGATATATGAACCCAGTTTTGAGGTCCAACAGGCATCAGGGGTGCCTTATCAGCCCAAGGATGTGTATTGATGGAAGGTTTCTAACACTATCCCTAAAAGGATAATTGGCTGTTTCCTTCACACATTGTGTTCTAAGCCAACGTGTGGTTTGCTGATTTTTGGCTTGACCTAATATAGGAACAACAAGGGTAGATCGTAAACGATCACTTAGCCATTGTGGAGTTAGTCCATCTGAATTTCCCATGGAAAAGATAACGTTGGAAGAAATGGTAGAAAAACACAACTGGGAAATGGCAACCTTTGGACCCCCCCCCCCCCCCCCCCC